CTAATCCCCCCCCGCTATACCCCCCCCCAAACACCTGTTCCTTTTCTGGGGCCGATGCACGCCAGATATAGATCGGGGGCAGTGCAGGCAGTGCAAAGTCCAAAGACCAACAACACGAGGAAGAGCGCCGGCAGCAGAAGACTCAAATCAGATAGGTCTGACTTGACTATGCGGCAAAATGACAATGTGACTCATGTCCGATCTCACACAAGCAGGGAAGTCCAAACACAAAAGAGACCTCCCCAAAGTACAGACGAAATGCACAATGGGAGATGGAGAAAGAGGCGGAAGAAGACAAAGACCAAATATGTGGCAGCGTCAAATAATAAATATCTCTGCCGCCTCAATCTCCTCTCCTCCAGCGGACCTCCAAAAATCTGTCTCCAATCTCAAATTGTGGAGCCTGGGTCCCAAGATATCAATTTCAAGTTTCCTCTCTCTCTCTCTCTCTCTCCCCCTCTCTCTCTCTCTCTCTTCCCCAGTAGATGAAGCACAAGAAGAGATGAAGGATAAGAAGCATGGGACTCTCTCTGTGTGTCTGTGTGTGTGTGCATCTCCCCCCTGCCCCCCTCCCCAGAGAGGTAGATACTAACCAGCAAAAGGTAGAGCCTTGAGCCATTCATGTACTGCAGGTTTCCAGTAGAAGAAGGCCCGCTCTGGCATGCGGCAGGACTCCCAGATATAACGCCAGATGAGTGAACTCCACCACTGGATCTGCAACGTCCTCGAGCTCTACGCAGCGCTAGTCCCTGCTCCTCTACCACTAGGCTGCTCCTCTACTCTCACTTGCAGCCTGGAGGCACATAAACGAATGAAAACTACCTACGAACCACTGGGCCGACGTCTCCTATATACTGCTGGGCCTGTCACCATCCAACCCGGCCTCTAATCTGGGCTGTCCGATCAGCCAAGGATCCGGTGGTCCACTGAGAGGCCGTGCAGCCAAACTTTGGCCAGGCTTTGAAAACAAGCTGGCCAGCACAAATACAGTACTGACGTCAACAAAATATGCAGGAGTCCGAAGCAGGCAAACTGAATGAGACCAAAAATAAAAACCGTCCTGACACCAACAAAATGTACGCAGGAACAGGGTTGCACCCCCTGACGGTCGGCTGCCAACCCGCCCACCGATCGGCTGGTCGGCACCTACCGGTCGGCGGTCGTCCGCACCCATGCACGAAGTTGTTGAAATATCCGGAAATCCATACGGTGAAAGATTGCAGAGCAGGGGGAGGTCCAGAACCCCTAATAACACCACCAACACCCCCATAGCAGTCCCCAATACCCCCATACACCCACCCAACACCCCCAAACCACCCCCAACACCCTCATTACCCCCCCCCCCAATACCCTCTATATCCCCCCTATACCCCCCCTATACTCCAACCCGACCCTCCCCGATCCCCAAAAGTTTCTCAGAGGGTTTGGGTTGCACTCAGCAAGTGCAGTACATAAAACCACCCAACAATGGCGACAATTGAAGAATCTTTACATGACACTCATGGTCAAACTTTGTTTCAACCAAGTGCTTTGTCTTCAACCTTTCATCATAGCGCATCACCTAACTGTATTACCTACCTGACTGACTCTTGCGAGCCTCCAGGCACGAAGTGCAGCAATTCGGACATCGCAGCTGAGTTGCTGGACATGAAGCGCTGGTCAAAACTGCTTCAAAATGTATCCTATACACTTCGTCGTATGCCCCCCCAATGTGATAAGTGACCTGCCCTTACGTAGTATTTCACCACTCCCACTAAACCCTTGCTGGTTTTGACCAACAGAAGGCAGAGGGCCAAAGGCCAGCGCACATTTGTGTGCTTCTCCAAGTGCACAAGGCCGAAGGACCGCAGGGTATGGTTCCTGCATGTCACTCACCCAGGGTCTGATGATGACCCATGACCTTTCCGCCGGTCGCAGGTCATAACACGCCCCAGGAGGCCGAGGGACCTGTCCCAAGAACTGCTGAGGTCCCCAGACCCAACGTGGGAGGGCCCAAGCATGCCATAGTGGCCGAATGGTACCAGGTGGCAGGTACTACACACATATGCAACAAATGATAAGCAGATATGGAGTTCAAATCCAGTTGGATACAAAAAGGTTACAGGCTAACCCAAAAAGGGAGGGTCACCGGACTGTACAAGGCACCAGCATAGTACCCAGTCCTTTTGTGCGGCATAATGGTACACACATATTTTCCATTTTTCACATCTATCAAATAAAAGAGCGCATTTTGTGAAACAAACAATCAAAATACACAAGACAAACATGACGAGCACGCTGAAACCGTCCTTTTGCCTCTTTGTACGCAGTTCTTCCTTTGCCTCTTTGTACGCAGTTCTTCCTTTGCCTCTCTGTACGCAGTTCTTCCTTTGCCTCTCTGTACGCAGTTCTTCCTTTGCCTCTTTGTACGCAGTTCTTCCTTTTCTTTTCTTACTTTCACCTCTTTAATTTCTTCTTTTAGCTCCCCCTTTACTGTGCTGAGCAGTGCAGGACCCCTTTTATTTTGAGGCTCTGTGGAAAAGGGAGGAGGAGGCGGCAACGAGCTGAGGAGGAGGTGACGAGGTGAGGAGGAGGAAGTGACGAGGTGGAGAGGAGGGGGATGGGATGAGGAGCAGCAGTCGAAGACAAGGGGGCGAGTCGGAGAGGACAATGAGATGAGGTGAAGAGGATGAGCTCA